GGGATAAATGGGGGAAAATGGGAAAAATGGGGGGAAAAAAGAGGGAAAAGGGGGGGAAAAAGGGGGAAAATGGGGAAAAATGGGAAAAAGGAAAAAATGGGGGGAAAAAAGAGGGAAAAGGGGGGAAAAAGGGAAAAAATGGGGGGGAAATGGAGGAAAAAGTGGGAAAATGGGGAAAAAATTGGGATAAATGGGAAAAAGGGAAAAATGGAAAAGGGGGAAAAATTGGGGGAAATGGGGAAAAAAAGTAGGAAAAAAGTGGGAAAATGGGGAAAAAATGGGGGGAAAAAAGTGGGAAAATGGGGATTTTGGGATTGGGGTGGGAATTTTGGGGGTTTGGAGAGAGAATTTTGGGATTGGGGTGGGAATTTTGGGGTTTTGGGAGAGAATTTTGGGATTGGGGTGGGAATTTTGGGGGTTTTGGGAGAGAATGTTGGGATTGGGGTGGGAATTTTGGGGGTTTGGGGCTGGAATGTTGGGATTGGGGTGGGAATTGTTTGGATTTTGGGCTGGAATGTTGGGATTGGGGTGGGAATTTTGGGGGTTTTTGGTTGGAATGTTGGGATTGGGGTGGGAATTGTTTGGGTTTGGGGCTGGAATGTTGGGATTGGGGTGGGAATTTTGGGGATTTTGGGCTGGAATGTTGGGATTGGGGTGGGAATTTTGGGGTTTGGGGCTGGAATGTTGGGATTGGGGTGGGATTTTGAGGCCTGGGGTGCAGCATTGCCCAGGAATTTTGGGATTTTTCCCATTTTTCCCCAGATCCCTCGGGGTTTGTGTTCGACGTTCGCTCCGGGGCCGTGCGGGCTCAGGGCGGCTCCGAGAACATGAGGGAGAAGGTGACAGGAGCCCAAAATTCCCAAATCCCAATTCCCAAAAAACCCCACATTCCCAAAATCCCAATTCCCAAAAATCCCCACATCCCAATTCCCAAAAATCGGCAAATCCCCACATTCCCAAATTCCCAAAATCCCAGTTCCCAAAAATCCCCAAAATCCCAATTCCCAAAAATCCCCAAATCCCAATTCCCAAAAATCCCCAAATCCCAAATTCCCAGTTCCCAAAAATCCCAAAATTTCCAAAATCCCCAAAATCCCAGTTCCCAAAAATCCCCAAATTCCCAAAATTCCAAAATCCCAAATTCCCCAAAATCCCCACATTCCCAAAAGTCCCCAAATCCCAATTCCCAAAAATCCCAAAATCCCAGTTCCCAAAAATCCCCAAAATCCCAGTTCCCAAAAATCCCCAAATTCCCAAAAATCCCAATTCCCAAAGATCCCCAAATTCCCAATGCCCAAAAATCCAAAATTCCAAAATCCCCAAATTCCAAAATCCCCAAATTCCCAAAATCCAAAAAATCCCAAAATTCCAAATTCCAAAAATCCCCAAATTCCCGAATGCCCAAATTCCCAAAAATCCAAAAATTCCAAATTTCCCAATGCCCTAGTTCCCAAAATTCCCAAACTCCCCAATTCCCAAATTCCCCATTTTCCCAAGTTCCCAAATCCCCAAATTCCCAAAATTCTCAATGCCCAAATTCCCACATTCCCAATTCCCCAAAATTCCCAAATTCCTCAATCCCCAAAATTCCCACATTCCCAAAATTCCCAATTCCCAAAATTCCCAAATTCCCCAGATCCCAAAATTCCCAAATTCCCCAATTCCCAAAATTCCCAAATTCCCAAAATTCCCCAATTCCCAAAATTCCCAATCCCAAAATTCCCAAATTCCCACTTCTCCAGCATTTCCCAACAATTCCCAAATTTTCCCAGATTTTTCCCCATTTTCCCCCAATTCCCCCTTTCTCCTCCCAGACATTCCCAAATCCCACAATTCCCCAAAATTCCCATTTTTCCCCCAAAATTCCCATTTTTCCCAATTCCCATTTTCCCCAAAATTCCCATTTTTCCCAATTCCCATTTTCCCAGGAATGCAATGCTGGAATTCTTTGGGATAATTGGGGAATTGCTCTGGGTTTTTTTTTTTGGGGGGGATAAATTCCTCCTTTTCCCTGGTTTTCCCAGGGAATTTTTCCCATTTTTCCCATGGAATTTCCCCTGGTTTTCCCCTGGATTTCCCCATTTTTTCCCGAGTTTTTTCCCTGTTTTTCCCCTGAATTTTCCAATATTTTTCCCATGAATTTCCCCTGTTTTTCCCATGGATTTTTCCCTGTTTTCCCCGTGAAATTTCTCCTGTTTTTCCCTGAATTTCCCCATTTTTCCCCATGGAATTTTCCCTGTTTTTCCCTGAATTTCCCCTGAATTGCCCCATTTTTTCCCCAGTTTTTCCCCTGAATTTCCCATTTTTTCCCCAGTTTTTTCCCCCTAATTTCCCCACATTTTCCCTGTTTTCCCGCTGATTTTCCCCAGTTTTTCCCGTTTTTTTTCCCCATTTTTCCTCTGAATTTCCCCATATTTTCCCCATGGAATTTCCCCAGGTTTTCCCGTTTTTTTCCCCTGTTTTTCCCCAGATTTTCCCCATTTTTTCCTGTTTTTTTTCCCTGTTTTTCCCCTGTTTTCTCCCTGATTTTCCCCATTTTTTCCCTGTTTTCCCCCTGTTTTCCTCCTGATTTTCCCCATTTTTTCCTGTTTTTTTTCCCTGTTTTTCCCCAGTTTTTCCCCTGAATTCCCCAGGTTTTCCCGGTTTTTTCCCCTGTTTCCCCCCATATTTCCCCCATATTTTCCCCCCATTTTTCCCCTCTTTCCCCCCATTTTTCCCCATTCCCCCTCATTTTTCCCCATTTTTTTTTTCCCCCCCCATTCCCAGGTCCAGGCCGTTCGTGCCGTGGTTCCGAACCGCAGCAACACCGAGATCGTGCTGGTGCTGCAGCACTTTGACAACGCCGTGGAGAGAGCCGTGACCGCCTTCATGGAGGGTACTGGGCAAACTGGNACTGGTTACACTGGCAGTGCTGGTGCTGCAGCACTTTGACAACGCCGTGGAGAGAGCCGTGACCGCCTTCATGGAGGGTACTGGGCATACTGGGAATACTGGGAATGGACTGGGAATGGACTGGGAATGGACTGGGAATGGACTGGGCACACTGGTTATACTGGTTATACTGGTTACACTGGGTACACTGGTTACACTGGGTACACTGGTTACACTGGCAGTGCTGGTGCTGCAGCACTTTGACAACGCCGTGGAGAGAGCCGTGACCGCCTTCATGGAGGGTACTGGGCAAACTGGGAATACTGGGAATGGACTGGGAATGGACTGGGAATGGACTGGGAATGGACTGGTTACACTGGTTACACTGGTTATACTGGTTATACTGGTTATACTGGTTACACTGGTTACATTGGTTATACTGGTTATACTGGTTATACTGGTTACACTGGTTAGACTGGTTACACTGGTTATACTGGGAATAGACTGGTTACACTGGTTAGACTGGGAATAGACTGGTTACACTGGTTACACTGGTTACACTGGTTACACTGGTTACACTGGTTATACTGGTTACACTGGTTACACTGGTTAGACTGGTTACACTGGTTATACTGGTTATACTGGGAATAGACTGGTTACACTGGTTATACTGGTTACACTGGTTATACTGGTTATACTGGTTATACTGGGAATAGACTGGTTACACTGGTTATGCTGGTTATACTGGTTAGACTGGTTAGACTGGTTATACTGGGAATAGACTGCTTACACTGGTTATACTGGTTACACTGGTTATACTGGTTATACTGGTTATGCAGGTTATAGATTGGTTATACTGGTTATACTGGTTACACTGGAATTTTTGGGGTTTTGGGCTGGGAATTTTGGGGATTTTGGGTGAAATTTGGGGAATTTTGGGGATTTTGGGCTGGGATTTTTGGGATTTTGGGTGGGGATTTGGGGGAATTTGGGGATTTCAGGTGGAATTTTGGGATTTTGGGTGGGAATTTTGGGGGAATTTTTAGAATTTGGGTGGGAATTTTGGGGTTTTGGGGTGGAATTTTGGGATTTGAGGTGTCAGACAAGGGAATTTTTGGGAATTGGAGGAGATTTGGGATGGAATTTTTGGGTTTGACAGGAATTTGGGATGGAATTTTGGGGAATTTTCCTTTTCCCCTCCTTCCTCATTCCCAACTTTTCCCATTTTTTATTTTTTTTCCCCAGGAAACGCCAGCGAGGTGCTCAAGGAATGGACGGTGAC